TTCATATTTATAGGAAAGGTGCTCTCGCTCGCTGTGGACGAAGAAAAACGTGAAGTAATTGCAGTCGGGGATTCGCTTGGCAAAGTTCATCTGATAAGCATAATTTCGGGTAGTGTTTTCTCGACGTTTTGCTTGGACACTGAGTTGTCTCCATCACCGACCGTCGTTTGGTGTCTTCTCTTTGTTGGGTACGACAGTCTATTCATTCACCTGTATTAGACTGTCTATTTAATTATCTTTTTAAAATATTTTTTAACATGCCTTAATTTCTTGTCCGACATAGAAACGTGTGCTTCCTCTTATATTTTCTTATATCGATCACATGGCTCCGCGTAACGGTTCTGCCAATTTGTGTTTAACACTGATGGTGCCAAGGATCAACCGTATCAAACAAGTAGATTGATTTTTATTGCCCACAGTCTCAACTCTTTCCGAAAACGAGCCCAATTCAATTGACATTCAAACTGCACATGTCCCCGTAGATCCGTAACATGTCTGCCTACAACTCGTTCCTTATTTTTTGCTTCTAGTGGTGTCCTCTTTTCCGGAGACAGCAAAGGACATGTTAGCTTGTGGAACGTCGAGATCGGTGGAATGATATGCAATTTTGCAAGTCACAACGCAGATGTCCTTGCTTTAGCCGCCAGTCCGGATGGCATGTCCGTTTTTGCTGGCGGTGTGGACCCTATAATCCGACGTTTTGACTTCTCGTACTCTGGCTCTACTGGTAAGCCGATACTTGGTGATCGCCAACGTTCTATGCAGGCGATATGTAATTTAGTCTCCACCTAGCTTTTTGATTCCTACCTATGTGCTAAGCATGCATTTTTGATCAAAACGTAAGTAAAACTATGGCCTAGTCATTTACCATGTGCAGTGAGCGCTTATTCCTGTTACTTGTCTATATTTTGGTTCCGATACCGAGCCTATGAAACTCATAAAAGCCTATGAACACCCACTAATTTTTAACTTAACGCTTCAGTATTTGTGAAAGTGTTAAGAACACCTGTTCATTCAAACCTTTGTTATTGCAATAATGTTGTTCTGACTGTCATCAAACTCATTTCTGCCTTGTTGTGCTTGTATTCATAGACGAATTGATATTTCTCTCCGCAAGCGCAATCGGGCTCCGTCTGGATGCTCACTGTACTTGCGCATGGTGTGCTTTTGATTTTGAATGTCTTTGCTGGCCCTAAAGAGCATCAGAGACTTTAGTTGTCCAACCACTGCTATCTGCTGCACCAAATATAATGAGCTTGACCCACTCCTACATTTGCGAACATCCATCACCTTAAATATCAGATCCATCACCAAATCCAACCAAGTTTTCGACGATCTGCTGTTCATTGCCTCCAGATAGACTTTGATATTGCCAGATTAAAGTCAGTGACATTTAACTTGTGGGGCAGCTCTACAGAACAACCATGACATCATTGCTATGTCCTAAAATGCTTAACCTATCTCACTTTGGCCAGGTGGATATCAATCGCTATTAGCGCCTTCACCTTTTCATAACTGAAACTCGGCATTCTTCGAGCAGCTTGCTAATTTAGCGACCACATCCACCAGAAACAGAACAATCCGTAGGCTTGTCTCTAGCCGAGCTATGCCATCAGCGCAGTCAAAACCAGCTATCGGATCCTACAGTGCAAGGTCGATGTCACTCAAACAGTAAAGAACTATTAAAGAATCCAACAAATGGCACAGCTAAATAAGCCGAAGAAAGTAATCAAGCTTTTTGGATGTCAGACCAACTCTCGAATTATTATAGAGCTTTGCAAACAAGAGATCGTGTCATAATGGTGGCTACAACGGTCATTTTTGCTGACAGCGGGAATCCGTCAGTCGCTACA